ACTCACGAAGTCTAAAGAAAGAAAACCATATTTTTTGGCAGAGAGAAAGATTTTGTGCTCAGAGAGAGAAGAAAATCATATAGACAGGAAAAGTGAAGAGATGATATGGCACTTACAGGTTGCACCAAGATGAAGACAGAGAGAAAGATTTTGTGCTCAGAGAGAGAAGAAAATCATATAGACAGGAAAAGTGAAGAGATGATATGGCACTTACAGGTTGCACCAAGATGAAGAGAGAAAAGTGAGGTTGCCGCTCAGATACTATGTGAGAATATAGAAACCCTAGCTTTGATACTACGTGAGAATATAGAAACCCTAGAGAGGAGAGAGAGAATGGAAGAAAACATCTTATTTCTATTCATTTATTCAATACACTACAATGTACACATTAATAGTAGACATAATTACCCTTGAGGATAAAAAATGAAAGAATGCTGTATACAATATTACTAACAACAATAACTCTTGACACAAAATTTTAAAATAAAAAAAAAACTAAAAAGAATTTCGAAATGACATGTTTTCCATCATGAGTTGTTCTTGAATTACGAAGGAAGATGACTTGATGAAATCTCCAAAACTTTAGAACGTGGTGAGTCATCCAGGTACCTTACGTGCAATTTCATAGTGAGACAATCTTTCTCTGTCCTTTATAGTGCTTTCAGTTGTACTATTTCTCAGCTACAAGTCCTTTCACACTTTGAATGGATTTCATCTTCTTCTTCTTCATTGTTTTTTTTCTTTTTTCTTTTCTTTGGGATGGTAACTGCATGGCTAAATATCAGCTGCTAACCACTCAAGCCCAAGCTCAATTCTTGATTTCATCTTTATTTTGGTTCCCAGATATCATCTCAAGTACTACGCCTTCATTTTGGTTCTCAGATATCATCCCAAGCACTATGCCTCCTTCCCCACTTTCCTTTTTCTCTTCACGAGTTTCTTCATTTTGGGTGGGCAAAATCTTTGCAGGCTTTCTGTCCTTTGCTTTGCCCCATAGAACGAAGTAAAGTCCACAAATGATCAAAAACATCCCTACCACACTGGAAGAAAAAAAGAAAGAAAAAAGGAATTATTAGATATACAACATGAACTATCCCCAAATGTATTCGTAGCAAGATTCTAAGAATTAACTAGTAAAATTCACGAAATAAAAAAACAGACGACGATGATGAAGATGATGGCCTTACGATCCGACGTGAACATCGACATGAAGAATAATAGGCTCTAAAATGGCCACCAATACTGTGCATAGGGGGTTGAATGCAGCAGCAAAGACAGGGCCTCTCTTCTTTATGCACCAACTTTGAATAAAGAATGCCAAAGCCGAACACATGATACCCTGCAGGTGGATAGTTTTAGCTAAGCCCGTGGGCCAAAAGAGACATCAAGGAAAAGACCAAATGGTCATTAAAGTTCCTAGTTAATGATATATATATATAAAAAGTGGACCAGCAATTTAATGTCCCAAAGAATCTCATAAATCCATGTAAAAATGAAAAAAGTTCCTTGGTATAATTGGAAATGAGAATATTATTAAATTTAATGTCATAGAGCAAGTCAATGAACATTGAATGACATTATCCAAGGGCCTATGAACTATCTAGAATTCAGAGAAACTCGTGTTTCTATTTGTATATATTTCTCGTCTCTGTTTCATAAACAATAAGTAATATCTTTTCGAACAATTAATATGAAAGTAGCATAAAATAGGTTGGTAGGAATTCTTACACTGTAAGCATAGGTAAAGAGCTCAAAATTCCATCCTAATTTCCAAGCCGAGGACCTATCAAATATAACTGAAATGACTGCAGACTGAATTGTACCCATGCCCAACATCATCGCTGTCAAGGATAGCTGAGCAGGATAATCCTTGAAAGTCCATGCCTGAAAATGTCAATAAACATGATACATAAGAAAATTGCTTTGCATAGAAAATTAAGAGGGTATGAACCTCGACAGGCGGATCAAGATTTGTGTAACCGACCCCAAGTTCGAAAAAAGCTCGATGATGATATAAAAATCAAGAGGATGAATAAGTTTAGAAGGTTAACCTGGTATACTATCCATGTAGAGTAGGCTGTGACACTTAGCACAAGCAGAATTGGACCCAGTGTCCAATTATCCTTCATGACAACGGCGGAATTGGTGACCAAAAGATCTGAAAGAGCGGTCGGATTCTTAAGGAAACCAAGGAATCCTAGCACTGGACCTTTAATTAAAGTCATGATCATGGCGCCGCTCACGCATATTATGGTACCAACAACCTTTGCTTGTCCCCTTAGACTCCTTAAATTCACTTTCTCCATTCTGATAAATGAGAATAAGATAGAAACAAAGAAGTTGTTAAGCATTTTAGTTCAAATCAGTGTACAACATGAGTTTGAGCGAAAAGAGATGAGTGTACCTTAGGAGAAAAAATAAGATAGAAACAAAGAAGTTGTTAAGCATTTTCGTTCAAATCAGTGCACAACATGAGCTTGAGTGAAAAGAGATGAGTGTACCTTAGGAGAAAAGCCATGACAAAGGCAAGGGCAGGGATGAGATTCATTATGGTGGCAGCAAAGGTTGAAGAAGTGTAGTAAAGCCCTGAGAAATAGAGGATTTGGGAGAGTGGAACCCTGAAATAAATGTAACAAGTCAAAAAGAGTGTAATCCATGGAATAAAGAAAGAAAAAGATGAGTATAATAGCTGAACTATAACAGAAACAGAGATTGTGAGCAAGATAGAAGGTATTATATCACCAAATTAGGAACTGCTCTTACCCCAATAATCCAAGAATAAATATTTTACCCAAGTCTTTCAGGGTCATGGGAGGCCTTTTGTTCCTGCAAAAATTTCAAAAAGTTATAGAGGAACTGCACTCCTGCAAAAAGCAGAAAAGAACAGAGAGAGGGAGAGCTTGAGAGAGCTTACTTATCAAGAAAGTAGGCGAAAGGTGAGATGGCAAGTGTGGCAATAGCCTGCCTGTAAGTAACAAAGATGAAACGACTCATCCCCCTCTCAAAAGCCACCCTAGTTATCACATACATCACTGCCAGAGAGCTCTGGAACAATATTTGAGCAAACAGAGGGGCATGCTTCACCATTTCTTCCCCCTTGGATTTCACTCCTCTCAAATCACACAACAAGAAGCAGAAAAGTTGCTGATTATAATGATGAAGAAAGAAAGAACGAAGAACAAGGATAAATGCTCTCTATACATGTCAAACTCTCCCATCAGTTTATATAAGCCCGAGGGAGATGTAGCCATGATAAAAGAACAAAAAACGCAAGTGGTTCGGAAAAAGATTAAGTGAATTAAATTAGTAGAGGATCTCACGTCGCGCCCGCCACCGCCTGACTCGAATTCCTTTGACCCATATTCTATCTATATATGGCCGCTTAGGTGATTGGAATTGACTGGAGACCATCTCCTTGACTATATCCGTCACCCAATAATAGAATAATAATTAGGGGAAAATGACCTCTCCCCCTTTCCCCGAAATTTCCATAACTATTGATCCTCCACTTTAAAACTTTGGAAACGTTAGTCCCCAATTATGATTTTTTTTTTCTTTTTTATAAATTAGAAAAAATTTATATAGAGCCTAGGATCTAAACAATCAAATAAGAGCCTACCTCAAAATTTTCACTAAAAGAAGTTGTTTTGATGCCTATATATGCTCAAATAGATCATCTCGACATCAACATGCATAGATATGAGAAAAAATGGATTTTAAAGTTTGGGAATACTATATTTTGTAATGTATTTTTGGACCGTCAATTTTCAAGATTCTTAAGTTTTCATAGATCTGTCGATCTACACTATTTTTTAAGCTTTAAAATTTATAAATAAAGATGAAAATATATTTTATGGCTACCATAAAGATTTCCAGTATTGAAACCACATTTCTTGACATTATTTGAAGGTAGGCTCTAATTTGATTGTTTAGAGCCTAGGCTCTACACGAACCGCACCCTTATAAATTTGATCTTTTTTGTTTTTGCAAAATGCTAAACCCATCCATTAGTCAACTCCCTTCTCTTTCTCTTCTATTGTCCAAAACCAATCTTACATCTGGGAACCATACTCTATAAATTTAGACTTGAAAAGAAAATGAATTTTTATTTAATATTATGGCTTATTTTACAATTGCATCGATATCTTTTTAACTTGGAAAATAATTAATCAAGATCTTTATTACTATTGTTAATGGCTTGCTATTTATTTATTTATTAAATAAATTTATCAAAATATCTATAAGAGATGAATTATTTAACAATTAATATATTATTGTTGTTGTTATTTTTATTATTATTAATAAAAT